GGGCTATAGGCGAGCCAGGACGCTGCGCCCCTGCTTCACCTGCACCGACCCTCTCTGGGCCTCTCCGGTCCTGCTCTCTGCACTCTCCCAGGGCCCTGCCCTGCCCACTCCCGCCCAGCAGCAGCCTGGCGAGCCAGGCTGGCGGGGAGAGGGAGCGAGGAGGCTCTGGCTTCTCTCGTGCCCCGCTCCTCCTCCTCCTCCTCCTCCTCCTCCTCCTCCTCCTCCTCCTCCTCCTCCTCTTCGCTGGCCCCGTGGCCGGCCCCTCCTCCTCGCTCCTCCTCGCTCCTCCTCGCTCCTCCCCTCCTCCTCCTCCTCCTCCTCCTCCTCGCTCCTCCTCGCTCCTCCTCGCTCCTCCTCCTCCTCCTCCTCCTCCTCCTCCTCCTCCTCCTCCTCCTCCTCCTCCTCCTCCTCCTCCCTCCTCCTCCTCCTCCTCCTCGCTCCTCCTCGCTCCTCCTCGCTCCTCCTCGCTCCTCCTCGCTCCTCCTCCTCCTCCTCCTCCTCCTCCTCCTCCTCCTCCTCCTCCTCCTCCTCCTCCTCCTCCTCTCTCCTCCTCCCCTCCTCCTCCTCCTCGCTCCTCCTCGCTCCTCCTCGTCTCCTCCTCGCTCCTCCTCCTCCTCCTCCTCGCTCCTCCTCGCTCCTCCCTCCTCCTCCTCCTCCTCCTCTCTCCTCCTCCTCCTCCTCCTCCTCCTCTCCTCCTCCTCCTCCTCGCTCCTCCTCGCTCCTCTCGCTCCTCTTCCTCCTCCTCCTCCCTCCTCTCCTCCTCCTCCCTCCTCCTCCTCCTCCTCCTCCTCCTCGCTCCTCCTCGCTCCTCCTCCTCCTCCTCGCTCCTCCTCGCTCCTCCTCGCTCCTCCTCCCCGCTGGCCCCGTGGCCGGCAGTCGGGCAGTCGGAGAGTAACGAGCCGCAGGTCAGCCAGCGTGGGCCCCGAACAGTACATGGGCTGCTGCACGGCAGGCGAGTCAGGTGCGTGGTGCAGGTTGTGCGGTGTGTGCTACAGGCCTCGGAAGAAATTAGCGAACACATGCCATGGGACGCACAGAGACATACTAGTACTATATGCTCTCCTGGGAGGCGTGCGTCCGACCCACACATATAGTATAATTACCCATCTTGTAGTATATCGTTTCCCGAGCGGTGTGGCCCGAAAGCGCCCGCCACGACGCACATACTGTAAGATTTCTCGGTGCGCGCACCGCCCCCGGGGGGGCGACGCACATATAGTAGAAGTATGCTGGGATGACGCCGATGCCACATTGATCCGTCAACGCCTCCCCCTCCCCCCAATGTTCAAAGTTGGTGGTGGGTCTGGTGAGATGCAGTTCGACCGCGGTCTCCCCCGCGCGTGCCAACGTTGAGTTTGGGGGGGAAGGGGAAAGTTTAGTAATCGTTTCCCTCTACCGTATGTGGTGCCCTAGACGTGGTGCAAGCTCGAGGCGGCAACGAATCAGCAACGGGCGGCAATGGGGCGAAACCTCGTCGGAGCCACCCAGCGCAGGAGGCTGCGACGAGGCGGTAACAGGCGGCAGCGCGGCGAAACCTCACCAGACCCACCCACCCGGCGCACGAGGCGACCACGTGGCGGTAACGAGGCGGCAACAAGCGGCAACGTGGCGAAACCTCGCTGGGCCCACCCCACCCAGCGCACGAGGCGGCAACGAGGAGGCAACGGGCGGCAGCGTGGCGAAACCCTGGGGGACCCCCAGTGCCAACGTTGGTGGAGGGCTTGCCTCGGGGGGGCCAGCGGCCACGCTGGCCAGTCAGCGTCGTCGACGGCCCCTTCGGGGAAGTGTTCTGCGGGTCCGTGGGCGGAACCGAACAAAAGTTGACTCGCCGCCTCCCGATGGTGACGCGCGCCCGAGCGTCCGCGGCGGCCGCCAAAGGGGGCGGGCGCCCGATCGACGACCGCGAGAGGCCCCCCACCCCAGAAGTTGAAGCATACCAGAGAATAACAAAACACAACAACAGCGTGTCGATTCTTGAAGCAGGAAGGCGCTTGAAGTAGATATGGGATCTGGAAATCCAAAAATACCCACTTTCAACGACCAGCGTGCAGATGCACTCCTCAAGCGCGACAGGGGGTCTTCGAAACACACCGCGGGCCCCGTGGGGCCAGGACAAGCTCGCACGCGAGGAAGACAGCGCAGGTGTCGCGCAAAAGCCTTCGTGTCAGGACTTCGGGGCGCCGGTCGTCCCAGCGGGCCCTGCCCGCTCGGGCCCCCGGGGGTCGCCGGCCAGGCTGGGGCGGGCGCTCGCGCGCCCGCCCGCGGCCGCGGCCTCTCTGGCACCGCTGGTCAAAGGCTAGCGGCGCTTGGCGCCTCTCGGGTTCCGCGCGGGTCGGGGGCGAGTTGGGCAGGTGTTGAGATGACCGGCGTGCGACGCAGAACCCGGTCGGTTACATTCTCTTGAACTGGCAGAGACACACGAAACAGCTTCTCGTATGGTGCTGCTTGCCCCTTGAAGGAAGAGCCCCACAATGCAAGCACTGTTCGGGGAACAGGTCAGACCCTCTATGCAAGTGCAAGCACTGATTAGGGAAGACTGATAAACTCTCGGAGGTCCGCGCGGACATCATGGACCGGGGCTGGCCCCCCCTCCCTGGCGCACGGAGCGCGCCAGGGGCGGCGTCGGAGGCGCCGCCAGGGGGGCCCGGCGCCGATCCAAGAAGTCCGCGTGGAGCTCCGAGGTTTGATGCTTATGTCGGCACGCCAAGTGTTCTTAACGCGCCGAAGTAGACGAAGCCAGCACCGTGGCAACCTCACTGCAAACCCACGGCGACCCCACGGCCAACCCGTGGCCAACCCGCGAACGAATCCCGTGTCCGAGGCGGAGTTTGCCCTGGTGGTCGACACGCCCCCCCAAGGTGCAGGGCCGCGCGTCGGAACAAACGGCGCGGCGACTTACGCAGTTAACACTCCAAACGGGCACCCTGCGACCTGCGAGCTGCCCGCGCGGCATCGGCCCTGGGGCGCGAGGGCAGCGTGGCTCTCCGGCCAAACAAAAGAGAGCGAGGCGAAGAGACCGGCAGCGGCGCCGTGAGCTACCACCAGCCTGGGCCCCAGCCCGTCCTGCGCCTTACAGCCATCGTAGGACGGAGAAAGGACGAGGGTAAGATCAGGCAGCGACGAATCTCAGACCTCCTCGCGCTGCGAGAAAATCACGACGGGAGGTTTTTCGCGATGTTCGGCCTCCAGGGGCCCTCACAGGGCCTCGGGAGCGTCCAAAAACGACTCGGGATGAAAAACGAGTCCCCGGGAAGGGATCCAGACTTCTGAGGGTCACGTCATGAACAAATCACGACGTCGCGAGTCTCAGATCGAGGATCTCTGAGATCTGGCGGTTCCAGAGGATGTATCGAGCGCCGCGGCCTTCTCAGAGCGTTCTGGAACGCTCGGAGAGCGTTCTGGAACGCTCTGGAACGGAGTATTCCTCGTCCTCTCCGTCCGATTTCGTGGCGCCACAAGGAGTGAAAGAATGCGAGGCGGGCGGTTATCCACGATCACCGCCTCAGGGATCGAACCTCGGGGACCTCGCTCGGCGGCGGAAAATGCTTGTTGGGTCTCAGAGCCCCAATACAGTCGGGGCGTTGACCTAAGGAACCCTGAATAAGGAACGAGGCCCCTTTTTGTTCATAAGTTAAGCTTCGATTCCCTATCGAAAACATAAGGGAAACCTGAGACAAGCTGTGAAACACTTAAGGAACGCGGAGCCCCTCCCCAACGAAAAGGGTTCCTTCTTCAGGGACCCGACTGTACATCCACGTCCACCGCCCGCCCAGGTTCCCGAAGATTGCTCCCCCAAGGCAACGGCTGTGGACAAGAAGCCCGCCTCGGAAGGACGGCAACTGCTTCCGGCCACGCCGAGCCCGGGCCACGCAGCTCGGGGGCGCGCACGAGGAGGGCGCCCGAGAGGGGGGGGGCGCAACTCCCGGACGGCGGCACGTGCGCGGCCCGGGGGGGGGGCAGGGGACGCCTCGAAGTAACAGAGAGGCGCCGTGCATGTCTGGGGAGACATCATGACCCCCGCCATGGCATCCGGCCCCGCGGAGCCCTCGCCCTCCTCTCCGCCGCCCCCGCGAAGGGGCTCCCCGACAGTGCTCCGAGGCACGGCCCGCAGACCAGAGCCCCTCCCAAGCCCGAGCGGCGTCCAGCGCCTCGGCCCGTGCAGCGCAACGCCGGCAGCAGACCGGGAGGGCCTGCGCGCCGGCCTGGCCCAGGCTGGTGGTGCCGCGTCGCTGCCAGTCTCCGATGGAGATCCCCCACACTGGCTCTCCAGGGCCTCAGGAGGCAGCTGCCTCCCACGAGCAGGCTGATCTGCGCGACACATTGCAAGCCGAACGACAGGCCAGAGCGGAGACCAGGAGTGGCTACCTGCAGACAGACGAGACCAGCAACATCCTGCGCTAAAAGTGCCGCTGTCCCACTTGCCAGGCGGTATTGCGCTTTGGCTGAGCGGAAGGATCTTGCAAAATGATCTGCGTGACCACCTGTGCACGACCGTGCTGGCCATGGCATGGGCTAGCTCTGGCACTCCGAACTCGTGTTCGTTCGGGGCTGGCCATACATTGGGCTGACTTGCCGAGAGCGTGACTATGCCTACTCCTGCTCGTCCTCCTCCGCATCATTTAATATGAAAGAAAAGCAATCAACACAAGCAACAGCAACAGCAACAGCAACAGCAACAGCAACAGCAGCAGCAACAGCAACATCATCAACAACAACAACAACAACAACAAAGATAGGCACCCACTACGCTTCTGCCAGGACCTCTCCTGGGATGCGCTCTGACCAGAATTTCGAGGCGAACCCAGTGGTGGCGACGAGGGCCTCCAAGGCGGCCCCAAAAGGTGAAACACGAGGGAAAAGTAAAAGTAGCGGTATGGGTTGCCCTTCCCTCCTATCATCATTCTCCTCCTCCGCGCGAGGGTGACCAGGAGTTGCGTTGAAACGATGTGCCAGCACGCAGCTCCTCTGGAGCTCCCCCTGGCCTCGGGCCGAGGGGGCAACGATGACCCTCCGAAAAAATGATCGACCACGTGCCAATCCAACCCACATGCCCACGCCGAACAGGCGTGCTGATTTTTGTTGGCAAACCGCCGGCCCCCTGCGGGGACATCGGGCTGCGAAGCGACGCATTCGTTCTCGGTCGTCGCGCTTGCGTTCGCCAATCGGTGCTTGCACGTAAGGCAAAGCCTCCGTCCGCTCGAGGGCTCTGGGCCATAACAACAAGAACCTGCATTAACACAACTTCTCGGAGGTCCGCGCGGGGGCTTCTTAGATCGGCGCTGGACCCCCTCCCTGGCGGCGCCTCCGGCGCCCGCGCGGAGCTCCGGGAGTTGATGCTTACCCATCGGTCGGAAGAAGTAGGCAGGAACACGAAGCATGAAGGCGGTGAAAGTAGATTGGGCTCCGTCCGCCCCCCTTGGGAGGACGGAAAAAAAGGTGAAGCCACTCGATCATTAAAGTAGGAAGGCGCTTGACCATAGACTGGGATCTGGGAGTCCAGAGATACCAACTTCCAACGACCGACTGGTACGCTCTGGAGCATGATCTTACGATGATGATGCTGCTGTTGTTGATGATGCTGATGCTGATGCTGGTGATGACGATGATGGTGATATGATGATGATGATGCTGATGATAATGTTGCTGATGATGAGGATGATCATGATGATGATGATGTTTATGCTGATGATGATGATGCTGATGCTGATGCTGCTGATGATGATGATGATGATGATGATAATGATGTTGATGATGATGATGCTGCTGCTGATGCTGCTGATGATAATGCACGCCGCGCGCTGCCGTCGCCGGCCGTCGGAGAGCGAGAAGCGACCGTGGCTGGTCCGACAAGAGAGAGAGAGAGAAAGAAAGAAAGAGAGAGAGAAAAAAAAGAAAGAAAGAGAGAGGAGGAGGAGGAAGAGGAGGAGTAGGAGGAGGAGGAGAAAGAGAAGGAGGAGGAGAAAGAGAAGGAGGAGGAGAAAGAGAAGGAGGAGGAGAAAGAGAAGGAGGAGGAGGAGGAGGTGGAGGAGGAGGTGGAGGAGGTGGATGAGGAGGAGGGGGAGGAGGAGGACCTCCGCCTTCTCCGCCTCCGCCTCCTCCTCCTCCTCCTCCTCCTCCTTTTCCTCAAGGCGCTGTTGCGCCGCGAAGAGAGTCGCAACAGCACCTGGGCCTGGAACAAGTCAATCGCCGAATCTCGAGGAACGAGTAATGGCGCACAAACACATAAACTTGCGGACGTCCGCGCCGATCTCTTGGGTCGGCGCTGGCCGTGCTCTCGCAACCGAGCTCCTGCTCCTCGACCCGCCTCTTCGGCGTTGCTGCTATCAGGGCCCCGTGCTTGCTGGTCTTGCCTGGGCCCGCGGTGGCCGCGCAGGGGCCGCTTGGGGCCCCCGCCCTGCAAGGATCCTGGCGGAGCGGAGAGAAACCTGCAGGGAGCCACACTCTCGGAGGTCCGCGCAGACTGCATCGGTTCGGCGCTGGAGCCCCCCCCCCCCGCCCTGGCGCGCGAGGGCGCGCGGCCGGGGCGGCGGCGGAGGCTGGCCAGGGGTGCCCCCCCCCCGCCGATCCGAGGAGTCTGCGCGGAGCTCGGAGGAAGCATGCCCGTGCCGCTTTAGTGCGTCCCTCGGCGGGTGCCCGCGGTCAGGACGGCATGCTGGGCGCGCGTGGAGGAGCACGGCTTCCGCGGAGAGGCGGCAGGAACATCAACACGAGGAGGACGGGGAGGAGGGAAGAGGGAGGCGGAAGGAGGAGGGGCAGGAGGAGGAGGAGGAGGAGGGCGGAAGGAGGACGAAGAGCGAGAGGGAGGAGGACGACGGGGATGAGGGTCGCAATGAGGATGAGGGGGATGAGAGAGCGTGCTGCGCCATTTTTTGTGGAATGGCCAGCAAGTTCAACTGCAGTCGAGTTCGAGCGGAGAGGGCACGCGAAGAGGGCGCGAGACTCTTCCGAGGGCAGCGTGGCTCCAATATACCAGTGCCCTCGCCTCGGAGACGGAGAGGGTATGAGATGCCATGCATAGGACGCAAGGGTGCCCGGGATTTGGCAGAGTCGACCTACTGATCAAACTCCACTGTACAGGAGGAGCTTCGAATCTCTGTTGCTACGAGGGAAGAGGTAGAGGGGGGAGAGAGAGATATGGGTAGAGCAGGACGGGGAGTGGGAGGAGGGAGGAGATCGGAGGAGAACGAGCGGAGCGGGGGGACCGCATTTCAAGACGTGGCGCCTGCGAAGCGACGGGGGTCAGCATGAGGAAGGAATGATCTATCAGAATGCCGCTGGGCTCCAGCGCCGATGGTTTGGCTCCTGATCGAACGGAGAGGCCATAAATAAATAGCGATACAGACGGGACAGGGCCACAAAAAAAATTCAAACACCGTGTCCCCCTCTGAAGAGGTTCTCGGCCGAGGCCCAAATCTTCTGAGGGTGCCGGCCACGCCTTCAAAACGCGCGCCTGGCCGAATAGAAACGAGGCCGCGCGGGATTGCCGCGGCACAGCGCCGCCTCCCGTCGCATTCAGCCAATCGGCAGGAGTTAGGAGTGCGAGGCGGGGGATATACATACAGTGGAGGCTAGTCCACAAGAAACCGTCCACAAGAAACCCAACCCTGAGACCCCAGGACGCCCATCGATTTTTGGTGTGGGAACGTCGCGCTCTCCACAGCAGAACCATCGAAACTTACGCAACCCAGGGCACCCTGGAGGCAAGCGGGGTGCTTCTTGGCACGGGCCTGCCACCGCTGTACTTCTCCACCGCCCGGGGAACCGACTTCCTGGGACCCCAGCGGGCGGTGGATCTGGACACGTCATGACCCCACGGGGCCCCAATGTACCCATATCCACCGCCCGCCGAGGTCCCCGAAGATCGATCCCTCGGGCGGTGGAGTTATGGATAACCCCCCGCCTCGGGAAGACGACGAGGAGACTGCCCTGGTCTGCCCCCCCTGCCAGGCCCTGCCAGCGGACCTGCCCTCGGCCCTCCCTTCCCGCTGCGCTCAGGGCCAGCGATTTCTGCCGCACGTCCGCACGGGCACGTGGAATCACGGACGCATGCACAGGCACGTGGAAGCCTCCCGAAGTCCTGGGTCCGAAACGTTGACGCCTCGCGTTCACTGTCGCCGCCCTCCGCCGGCTTCCGCCAGCACACCCGCCGCCGTTATGATGCCGTCGGCCTCCGCCGGCCGTCCGCCCCAGATCCGCCGAGCCAGAGACGATCATGCGGGTGGCGAGAAGACGCGGGCCTCACGCGAGAAGGCAGGGCGACCCCACGCCGCGGCTGACGCGGGCCGCCGCAGAGGCGCACCGCGCGGGGAAGAGGGCGCTCCCGCGCGAGCCTGCGCGGGAAGCTTGCGCGCGAACGCCCACGCGCCGTCGGCCCCGTGCTCTCGAGCCGCTCGGCAGCTCGAGGGCGCGGGCCCCTTCTGGAGTGCCCCCGTGGGGCGCGCGCGCGTGCGCGCGCGCCGCGCGCGCGCCTCGCAGACCCATGGGGGCGGCGGTGGCGCCCGCACGGGCCTCCAGAAGAGGGGCCTCCCGCACGGGGTCCGAGCAGCTGGGGCGGGAGACTGCCATCGGCGATGCCTCGGCGACGTCGGCGGCGCACCGCCGCCGCCGGTGGGGCAAACCTCGGGCTTCGCCCCGAGCCGCCGTCGCCGATGCATCGGCCATGCGGCGCGATCCCCTGGCCACACCTGCCGAACCCCCTCCTGGCCGCCCCCCCGGTGGCGGGCAGCGGTGCCGGCTCGCGGGCCCGGGTCGGGCGAGTCCCCCTACAGGAGGACGACAAGCAAAAAAGAAAAAGCCCAACAATGCTCACAACAGTAGCAAACAGAAACACTCAAAAATCGCCCCCAGGCTATGTCTTTAACTGTCTTCGAAACTTCCTCCTGTCGAGGGACAGGCCCGACCTACTCGTAGGCACGGCAACCCGGCGGCGCCCCTCACTCCCCCTGCGAGTGCTCGCTGTCATGGTCGCTCTGCCCCTGCGCGGAGCCGCTGTTCGAGCCGCTCTGCCCCTGGCGGGGGGAGGAGACGGAGGGGAAGGAGGAGGAGGAGGAGGAGAAGGAGGAGGAGGAGAAGGAGGAGGAGGAGGAGGGGCGGGCAGAAGCCCGGGGGAGGGGCCGCCGCCGCGCATCGGGCGGGGGATCGACGGCAGCACTGGTGTACCCTAAGGCTGATTCCTGTCGTCGATGTTGCTAGCCAATACGTGCAACCCTCGCAGCTCTGCGAGCACCCTGCGTCTGCCTCGCAGGACTCGAGGGGCAAAGACATGGCGGGGGAACAACATCCATTGTGCAATGGATCTCGTACCCGACAGTAGGAGCAAACGAACCCTGCAGGTGTTACGGTCGGGACCTGTTGCATGGCGCGTCGCTGCGGCGGCCCCGCCGACACGCCCCGCACGAGAGCGAATAGCGCGTCGCTCCGCTCCCGCGGGGCGGGAGGCTCGGCGAGGCTCGGGAGACTGAAGCGTGTCGCGCCGAGGCGTGGTGAGCCAGAACCGTCGGAGCGACTTGGGCGCGAATTAAGGGTGGGGCGATAAAAAGGGGGGGGGGAGAAAGGCGCCCATTTCGGGCCGCCCGTCGTCTTCGCCGTGTCTTCGCTTTGGCAGCTACGTAGCCGCCGTCGCCGCCCCGTTGCCGCCTCGTCGCCGCCCGTCGTCTGGGCATGTCTGTCGGTCGCTGCGCTTGTTGCCGCCGTCGCTGCCCCGTCGCCCCCCCCCCACGTAGATTGCACAACATAGATTGCACAATATCGATCGCGCAACATAGAGTTCACCACATAGCTTGCACCACATGGATCGTACCGATTAGAGTGCGCAACATAGATTGAATCACGTAGCTCTCACCACATAGGAGTGCTCCACATAGACTGCACAACATATACTGCACCTCGTAGATCGCAGCACTTCAACTGCGCAGCATACGTCGCACAACATATGTTGTATTACATAGTTGCACATCATGTATTGTACCACATATATTCTCCTCTCTTAAACAATTAGGTTGTACCACTCTCTCCCCCGGGGTTAAAGACCTCCCGGGAACCGACGCAAAACACATAGGATTCTGCCCCAATGTCCATCCGACATGTGAATCCATAGTATCCCAGCCAAACCGGTACCGCCCCCCCCCCCCCGCCATCATCTGCAACAAATACTATGCACGCGCACTCGTTTTATCAAACATAAGAAGTTGTCGAACACCCCTTGCAAAAACCTTTGGTTCGGAAGAATTTCAAAATCGAGTTCCAAAAAACATGACGACACATGGCTTCGCAACACAGAGTTTCTTTTCTGTTTTGGCAAGAAGCTTACGCGCGCGCTCTTGCAAAACCTTGAGAAAACAATAGGTGTGTCAAGATGTCCACAAAACATACTACCAAATGGGCTTCGCGCGCGCATGTCAGAAATCGTTCGAACGCCCTTGCGCGCGTGCCGTCGCGAGAATCCTCTGCAACAAATGGGACGAAGTGCACGCGCGCGCGTCGTCGCGCGCGAAGGCCGAACTCCTTCAAAAACCTTGCAAAAGGAAAGGATTTCAAAATCGATTGTCCCAAAAACATACAAAACACATGGTTTCGCAACACGGACGTTCAACAAAAAACGTGCGCACGCGCTCTTGCGTCGTCGTCGTCGTAGTCGTCGTCGCCGTCCCTCCTCCCTCGTCGTCGTCGTCGTCGTCGTCGTCGTCGTCCTCTGTTTTTCTCTTTGGCGTCGTCGTCGTCCTCTTTGGCGTCGTCGTCGTTTTCGTCGTCGTTGCCACCGCGGACGTCCTTCCTCCTCCTTCGTCGTCGTCGTCCGTCGTCGGCGTCTCGTCGTCGTCCCTCCTATTTCGTCGCCGTCGTCGTCGTCGTCGTCTTCCCTCCTCCCTCGTCGTCGTCGTCGGCGTCGCCGTCCTCCCTCCTTCTTCGTCGTTCGCGTCGTCGCCATCCTCCCTCCTCCCTCGTCGTTGTCGTTGTCGCCGTCGTCGTCCTCCCTCCTCCCTCGTCGTCGCCGTCTTCGTTGGCGACGTCGTCGTCGTCGTTGTCGTCGTCGTCGTCTTCGTCGTCGTCGTCGGCGTCATCGTCGTCGTCGTCGTCAGCGTCGTCGTTGTCGTCGGCGTTGTCATCACCGTCGTGGTCGTGGTCGGCGTCGGCGTCGTCGTCGTCGGTGTAATCGCCGTCGTCGTCATCGTCGTCGTCGTTGCCGTCGTCGTCGAAGTCGTTGGAGACGCCGTCGGTGTCGTCGTAGTCGTTGTCGGCGGCGTCGGTTCCGTTGCCAAGTGCCATTTGGTACCTACCGTCACGTTCTTGAGAGGTCTGCGACCAAGTTGCGGGTGGGAGGGTGGGATGTTTGCACGAGCAGTGGAGAGGACGGCTTCAAATTGAGCAAGTGACTGATTGCTCCACATGGATTGCAGAGCATTCATTGCTAGAAACACACTGTTTGGGGACCACGCTGGCCAGTATGTTCTTGAATACTCGCTCATTCGGTTTCAATAGAGTTCAGAGCGGCCCCGAGAGGCTACCCAGACGGCTCCAGGGCGGCGCAGGCAAACTGTTGAAATCCTGGTTAATTCAACGACTATGAATATGGTAAACATGTAGTGGCGAAACGGGCGAAATATGAGTGCGAGTTTGCCCGAGTTTGGAAGTTTGAAACAATTGCCCAGATCTGCAAGTGTGAAAGCATGTGTGCGCAAACACTACCGAAAGCTGGTGGAAAGTTTGATGACATTTGGGACAAATTCACCTGGATTTAAAATTTGGAATCGGTGGGCAGACAAACAAATTTAAGCAAGTTTGAACAAAGTTCGCCCGGAATTGGAAATTTGATATTTCAGTTTAAATGTGCAAAATGCTCGCCCCAATTTGCAAGTTTGAATGGAACGCTTGTAAGAAGTTTGAAACACTCGCCTGGATTTGGAAGTTTGGCAAGTTGGAGAAGGTTGAAAATAATCTCCAGATTTGAACGATCGGGAAAAAGGTCGGGAGACGGTGGCTGACAGGTTGAACAAATTTGGAAAATAAGATTCATCATTTTTCCAGACTTGTCTCATACGTCCATGTTCCCTCTGTCTCACACTCGTAATTCCGCTTTGCTTTGATTTTCGTACTTTTCGCATGATTCGAATATCCCGTGCCTGCTCACCAATTTGCCTGCTCGTGGCGACACAACCCAAGACGGCCCAAGAGAGCCCAAGAACGGCCCAAGAGACGCCCAAGACGGCCCGAGAGGGCCCCAAAAGAGGTTCAAGAGAGACCCAAGAGGAGGACCTCGAACTGACATTTCGAGCGCTCCGCCCCAACATGACCCCCGAGACAGCCAGCAAACGCCCAAGAGACCCCTAAGAGGCTCCAAGAGGCCCCCAATAGGCCCCAAAGATGCCCCAACTGGCCCCGAAAACGGTTCCTAAGAGGCAGAAGACCCCACCGCCCGTGGACTTCGTCTCTCTCCTGGGGGTCGGCGAGATGGCGTGAGCCACTTGCATAAATTTTGGTGAGGTAATGGGGGGAGTGCGCGATCGATCAGGCACGCGGCATACCTGGGCCACGGAGCGATGGAATGGATAAATGGAGCGCAGGGAAACAACAAACACACATGCGGGAAACCTTTCATGATTTTCCTAATTTTGTTATCCCGTCTTGAGCCGTCTTGGCCTCGTCTGGCGAGAACTGGAATGGGGAGGTATCGAGGGACAGCGCGATTCTTGAGCATTTTGTGCGAAGTCCTGGGCGAGATTGCAAGTCCTGAGCGTCGTCGCTCGTCGTCGTCGTGTTCGTCGTCGAAGTCTTCGAAAGCGTCCAGAGCACCCTTGGTCGGCGGCACTCGCCGGAGGCCACTACAATAAACGGTGCTGAAAAATCAGGAGGGGGGCGGGTGTTCTTGTAGCCGGAGGCCAAACAACACAGTTTGAGGCTGACGACTCTGGTCTGAGTGCCGGGAGCCCAACAGTTCAGCCTGATGGAAGCGGGGTGCGAGCGCCCAGGGGTTGGTACTTCAAATGGAAACATCTAGTGGCGACAAAAAACAACGGGCACCGGTGAGTGGGATACCAGCAGTCTTCAGAAATGTTGCGAAAGCTACAGCTGCTCGCCTCGCCCCTTCTCCCCCTCCTCCTCATCCCCCTTCCCCTCCTGCTCCTCCTCCTCAAAACTGAGCCCTGAAAATGGCATACACTTCCCAATGTGTGCGCGTCATCCATGCGCAGGGGCCACGCTAATCTTGACGGGAATCCACCTCTCCCTCAAGCTCCTCCTCCTCCTCCTCCTCCTCCTCCTCCTCCTCCTCATCCTCCCTACTTGGTTGCGCTGGCTGCGCCCCGACCTGAAGGCCGCTGCCGACGACGACGACGACAACGACGACGACGAAGACGACGGACGCCCAAAACCTCCGACATCATGATTTTCGAGCAATGTGGGCCAAGGAGGTCTTGACTACTCCCCGAGGACAGGCATCTCGATCGTTTTGCTGATGGCCCTGGGGCCCGTTAGGGGCCCCCAGAGGCTTTTAATGGCGAAAAGCATAACCTTTCTGCACGACGCGAGGTGCGGGGACGATGACCACCACCACCGCCAACACGACGACGACGACGACGACGACGACGACGACGACGACGGCGACCACGACGACGACGACGACGACGACAACGGCGGCGGCGGCGGCGGCGACGACCACGAGGACGACGACGACGACGACGACGACGGCAGCGGCAGCGGCCACGGCGGCGACTTGGTGGTCGTCCCTGTGGCGTTCCTGGGGTCCCAAAACGGTATGGTGACACACAGTGTGATGACCTCGAAATCCCAAAAAGATCTCACCGCACGGTCCGTCACCACACGGTTCTGGGATCCTGGAGACTCCAATCGCTCGAGGCGAACTCGGAGAACGCTCGAACCCCGCAACCGTAGGTGTCCCCGAATCCCCACATGACTCACCACAAGGTGTTGTCACCGCACCATTATCTGAGAGCCGACGTTGCGAAAAACTGTGACGCCGCAAAAGTCGCAACCAGAGCCCCGGACCCATCTTGCTGCTGCTTATTCCGAGCCAGATCGCTCTGTGATGGCCCTGGGGTCCGAAAGCGGGCGAAAACGCCCAGTGTGAACAAAATTGCGCATAGCCTGGATCTCAGGGTGCGGGCAAAATGTATATTTATATCCACTGCGTCCTGAATTTTCTGGGAAGGGGCGCCGAGAGGCCGAGGCGCAGTGGACACTGACAAAAACCAGGCCTCTGGGGGGCAGACTTTTATCCACATCCGCTGCGCCTCTGGTTTCTGGTAAAGGGGAACCCGACCTCCAAGAGGCAGTGGATATGGATAGAGCTTGCGCTTTCTTTTAAAGAGTCTGGCAAGTTTACTTGCATGGAGGGGTGGGGGGCCTGAACCTGAAGTAAACCGCAAACGATCTGCGCGTGCGGAAACCACGCGAGTCGAGAGGCACTTGCACGCCGGTGCTCGTCTGAAGAGGGGCGAGGGGGGATGGGGGGGGAGGGGGTTGACTACCTACCAGACCACCCCGACCCAACCCGAAGACCCCAATTTCGAGTTGGGGGGGGTACGGGTTCCATATGTGTTTTTTCAATGTTCCCCGATCCCCCCCCACTGGAAATGCAGGGCAAATTGAAGCCTTCGGGTTGGGTTGGGGTGGTTTGGTGGGGGGGGAGGGGGTGAACGCCATGCCAGTAAAATTGCCCGAATCTAAAAAAACTGCTCAAACAGCCCTGGCCGCACAGGAAGGAGGCGGTGCGGCCTGCAGGCCCCCCGCATTTTTCCCCGCCCGGGCCTGCGGGCCACTGCCCGTCCCGGAGCCGCCCGTGCCGGAGCCGCCACCGCCGCCCTCGGCGGAGCGAAGGGGGGGCAGGAGGGAGAGAGGGAGGTCGGGTGGGAGGGAGGAGGGAGGAGAGGGAGGAAGGAGGAGGGAGGAGGGAGGAGAGGGAGGATGGGGAGGAGGGGGAGGAGGGAGGAGGGAGAAGGGAGGAGAGGGGGTCTGCGTGCGCCCGAGCTCTGCCAAGCTCACCGCCGACTTCGAGGGGCGGCGCGCCGCCGAACGAATCCAAGCCAGGGGAGGAAGACAAGGGGGGAGAGGCCGCGGGAGGTCCTTCTCCTCCTCCTCCTCCTCCTCCTCCTCCTCCTCCTCCTCCTCCTCATCATCATCATCATCATCAGTATCCCCATTCCTCCTCCTCCTCCTCCTCCTCCTCCTCCTCCTCCTCCTCCTCTTGCTCCTCCTCACATCCTGCTCCTTCCTATCCTCACGCTCCTCGTCGCCCTCCTCCTTTTCCTCCTCCCCCTCCTCCTCTTCCTCCTCCCCCTCCTCCCCCTCCTCCTCCTCCTCCTCATCCTCCTCCTCCCGCTTCCCCCCTCCCCCAGAAGAAGGGGGGATGGGGGTTGTGGGTTGTTTAATTTTCTTCCACCGCCGTGCGCGCTTTCTCTGGCATCAACTTTCCGCAAACAAGGGAGCGGCCATAGAGAGGGCAAGACAACGCTGGACAGGAGAGGGAGGAGGGGCATGCTCGGAATGGATTCGAAGGTGTCCGGCAACTTTGACAGTGGTTGGCGATATGTTTCGGATGGCGTTGGCGGCGTACGGAGATGTTCGGACGTCTCTGGAGGTCTCCAGAAGAAACCGTGAGGTGCTCAATCTCCTCCACACTCCTCTTCCTAGGGTTCGAGGCGTGGCGACTTGCACGGTGGGCCAACAGCTTCAAGCGATTCCGCAAACACATACGCACACACACACACATACACACGTTTCGGCGTCGCGGCCACGCGCGTGGCGGCGCGGCGCAGATCAAGTCAGGCGGGATCACGCGGGCTGGCCCAGCTCATGCAGGGTGGAAAAGCTGGATCAACTCATCGGAGATCCACAGCAACGCTCGCGAGGGGGCAGTCGCGAGGAGAAGGGGCGAGGGGAAAGAGGAGAATGGGAGAGAGGGGATGGGAAACGAGAACATGGAAAAGCAGCGCGACAGTGACGAGCCGAAGCAGCAAGCGAGGCGCAATGGTAGGGCGGCGATGGCAGCCGACCAGGAAGGCGACCCACGGCAGCACACGCACAGATACAGCCGCACGCGCACTCTCACACATACACACACACGCACGCACGCACGCACGCACGCACGCACGCACGCACGCATGCACGCATCTTCTTTTTTGCGTCGGTGGCTGGGCAAAAGTTACTGCTCCGGCGATCGGGCATCGGTGGGGCGCGCTAGATGCAAACTGGGCCGCAATGCGCGGAAGGAGTCGGAGAGGAGGAGACCCCGGCGCAACGGGCAGAGGGGGCGCCGAATCAGGCGGAGCCCGCCGCCCTCCTCCCGAGAGACGAGGCTCGGCGCCCTGCCCTCCCCGTGTTTTTAAACAGGGCTAGGATCGGGATAAGTCGCTCCAGAGCGTTCCGGAGCGCTCTCAGAGCGTTCCGGAACGCTCAGGAGCGGCCGCGGCGCCCAATCCGCCCTCCAAGCCCGCCGATCCTCGGAGATTTCGGGTCATCCCGATCCGACTTTGCCCCGACCTCCGCGTCGTTTTACCGTTCCTCCCCGTTCTCGGAGGGCACCAACTATACACCAAAAACGCCGATCCTGGCCCAGGATCACCCTGGGCCCATGATCGGTGCATTTATGCCCTCTTGCCCAAGGCAGGAGGCCGTATACACCCATCCTGGGCCCAGGGTGATCCTGGCCAGGATCGGTGTTGGTGTATAGTTGGTGCCCTCCTACGTTCCTCCCCCCCCCGCTGCTCCCTGCGGCTGGAGGGCCCGCGGCCGGAGGGGGCCTGCGGCCCGGAGGGCCGCCCGCGAGCCGGCGAGCCGGCCGCGGCGGGGGCCGAGGCGGGGGCCCTGCTCGTCCCCCGCCCAGGCCAGGAGGAGGAGGAGGAGGAGGAGGAGGAGGAGGAGGGGAGAGGAGGGGGAGGGGAGGGGGGGAGGGGGAGGGAGGGGGAGGAGGGGGAGGAGGAGGGGGAGAGGGAGGAGGGGGAGGGGGAGGAGGGGGAGGAGGGGGAGGAGGAGGGGGAGGAGGAGGGGAGGAGGGGGAGGGGAGGAGGGAGGGGGAGGAGGAGGAGGGGGGGAGGAGAGGAGGGAGGAGGAGGAGGAGGAGGAGGGAGGAGGAGGAGGAGGAGGAGGAGGAGGAGGAGGAGGAGGAGGAGGAGGAGGAGGAGGAGGAGGAGAAGGGGGAGGGGGAGGGGGAGGAGGAGGAGGAGGAGGAGGAGGAGGAGGAGGAGGAGGAGGAAGAAGAAGAAGAAGAAGAAAAAGACCGAGGGAGGGAGCAGCAGGAGGAGGAGAGGAAGGAGGAAGAAACCTGGAAAGGCTGAGCGTGGACGCTCGAGAAGGGAGGAGGCAGGAGAAGAGCGAGAAGGACGAGGAGGAGGGCTCGTTGCTCGCGAAGGAAGAGGAGGAAGAAGAAAAAGGGCAGCACGGCGAGGTACGAGGTAGAGCTGGAGGAGGAAGGCGGGGACAGAAACGGAAGCAGGATCAAAGGCGAAAGAGGAGGAGCGGGAGCAGGAGCAGGAATAATGGGGACGAACAGCTTCAACATAGGCAGGAAGACGACGAGGTGAGGGTCGAGAGGGGCCCGCGCATCTTCCCTCCCCCCCTGCCTGCAGAGAGAGGGGTGCAGAGGCGCAGTGGCACGCAGGGGGGAGAGAGGAAAGATGCAGGGAGAGAGGGAGAAGGGAGGAGGACGCAGGAAAAAATGGGGGAAGGAGGAGGGAGGAAGGGATGAGGAGAGGAGGTTGAGAAAGCGACGCGGGACACTGCACGATGCGTGTTCCTGTCGGTGGTGCGGCCAGCGCGCGGCGGAGGAGGGAGGAGGGATCATGCTGGATCATGCTGCGAAGCCACTCACGTGGCCAGTTCAATCACTGTCACCGCTATCATCACCACCGCTGCCCAACCCCTGCACACGAGCACCAGCGAGCACTGTCTGCCCCTGACCCTGGGCTCTGAGCTGGGCAGCGACTCCCTCAAGCTCATTCTCCACAAGCAAGCGAGCGGCAGCGGCAGCAAAAGCAGCAGCCGCGTCCTCGCCCACGGGTGGGGCGTCCTCGCAGACCGTCATCACGTCGGCCAGCTCTCCGAAAGGGCGATCGGACGAGCGGGCCACATACTCATCGAAAAGGGGCCTCTCCTCCATTGGCCTCACGGCACCACCCACGCCCCCAGTTCCTACCCGAGGGGGTGGCGGGAGGGCACGCGCAGCAGCATCCAGCGCCGCCGCCTCACGCAAGGCCACGGGTGGGCCCCGATAAGACGGAAAAACACCCTTCTTAATTCGCTTGAGGTTTTCGCCCCCCTTTCGAGTGGGGGGGGCACACACTCTCTGAAGCCACCGACCGTCTGTCGTGGCTGTGGAACCACATCGCTGACAGAAGGTCAGCCCGAACGCGCGCATCCTGGCGAGGCGGTGGCTGTGGTGAAGCTTCACAGCGCCAACCCACACCTCTCCCGAGATCGCCTCGAAACCCTCACTAAACTCAGGGCTCAAACCCAGCGTTTCAGCCGAATCCGACGGCAGCGACGGGATCGGAACGCAGCACGGGGTCGAGACGACAGCGAGCACCTGGCTCCTCGGGACAATCATCTTGCACACATCGCAACGCCAGCGACCAGCGAAAGGGCGAAACTTGTGCGCACTGTCGCGGATTGCCTGGTCGAATTTAGTGGGCTTGCGGACCTTGGGCGCTGGCGGAGCTCTGACCCCTTCCCAAGGTTCAACCTCGAGCGCCAGCATCATCGCCCTTCTGGCCCTTCTACGCACCAGTGCCGCCGTCGTATCCCACAGGTCAGTCCGAGGGGGAGGGGCCACCACACACCAATCCCAGGACCACTGGGCCACCACCCCCGCATAGGCGTCGGCACTGGCGTTGCCCTGGCACATAAAAATATCAAACGGGGAAGTTACCGACGGCAGATTTTCCTCCGTGTGGGAGGGCGTCCAGAAAAGCGAAACCTCCCCGGGGCCGCGGGAGCGGAGAGCCCGAGAAGCACGAACCCACAAGTCCCCGTTCGGGCCCCGAGGGGTGGAGGCACGGCCACCGTGCCAATCAGAAAGCAAACTCTTGCAGTCGGTAATATAGCATAACGGACCTTGCGAGTGCTCAAGCGCGAGACAGAAGGCCTGGAGCTCTGCTCTAGGGACCGTTTGCCGACGGCCTGACAAAACCTGTCCTACACCGCACTGGGGCACCCAAGAATTAGGCGACGAGGGGTCCTGGCACATCATCACCACGGCCGAGCCGCATCGCCTACGCCTGGGATCAGAGCTGAACTCGCCCCCAGATCCGTCACCGAAGATGAACACAGGATGGCCTCCAGGCTCCGAGCAGAAATCGGCAATACAGCCATCCCCTAGAAGGACCTCCTGGGCCGTTTCCAAAGTCTCAACAAACCTAGGCACCGTGAGGTCCTTCGAGGGCACACCCCTGAGCCACAAGGCCGGCTGGGCCTCAAGGCCCGCGAGGGCCTGGGGGGTCAAAAAATCCGTTTTTGAAAAGTCATCATGTCCGCAATTGGCAGGGCATAGCCAAATGCGGTGAGCTAAAGTCTCAGGCTGCTCCTTACATCGGGGGCAAAGCGGCGGGCAGGAGTATCCTGCGGCAATCTGCCGCTCACGAGTCCACTGACCCCCCGAGATGACGGCAATGTCGGCGGCCCACTCGTCGAACTTGGACTTGGCAGCCAGGCGGTTCAGCTCAATCTGCACCGTAGTCATATCCGCCCCTGCTGCCAGATCCTCGCCCGCCTCATGGTGGGCCGCTTCCTTCCACTGCAGCTGAACACAATCATCCATGAAAGCGCCGAGCATATCCTCGAAGTGCGAAGGAACAGCTGTAGCGAACTGCTCATCACCAAAAGCAGGGAACAGCCAATCATCGATCGTACCATCTGGCAAAGGACGTGACCAGACATCAGGACTTCGCGGATCCCAGCCAATCTGCAAGAGCGTGGCCTGCACCGCGGCGATGGGGCCGCGCGCATCCTTCCACTTCACCACCTGTCGCTCAGCAGCGCCACGACGCAGCTTCGCCAGTGTGATCGGCCACATCTTGCGAATGCGAGGATGGAGCATCGGCTGGGAAAGCCACAAAGCAATCCACTCCTTCATCATCTGCTTCCTCAAATCTATGCCTGGATCAGAAACCCCAAACACAGCTTGTAGAACCGAATTCAAACACCTGCCACGCTTCGACCCAGCAACACTAGCTGCAGCATCCCGCCTCAAAGCCAACAGAGAAGATGGAGGGGTGCCCATAATCTGATGGCCAAAGACTGCAGCAGGTAGCACTCCAGTGGTGTAGAGCTTCTTGGTGATGAACCTGGTCTTGGGAAGCTGCCTCAATCGCATAACTTTTCGCTGCCGCCGTCGAGCCTGTGCACGTCGTTGCATCATCCGAGGCGCTGTCCGCCGTCGCCCTGCAGCAGCATCAGAGCCCAAGTCGACAGTGGAGCGCGCAAACTGCACAGGGATACCTTTGCGAACGAGTCGACGCTGTAACTCCACACCAATCTCATCAGAACTGGCGACAAGCTTCGTTTTGTCAGAAATCTTCAACCTGAGCTTCTTGAGCCCAGTGGCCATAGCGTCAGCAGAAGCGTCCAAATTATCAATCACCTGCTGCTTTTTGCCCTCCGCCCGACCGACAATATCATCCATATAACTCCACAATCCAGTCGGGGGACAAGCACGGTGGACCTCATCCAGCAACTGATGAAGCATAACTTTGGCGAGCGAAACGCCATGTCCAGAACCAGCGACGATCGAACGTGAAACCACCAAGGCGTCCGATATCATCTGGCCCTTCTTCAAAAGCCTGGGAGAAGAGTAAAGACCCACTTCCAGTAAGAGGACGATTGCTGGATATCCGATGTTCAAGCCAGCCTGCATGAGCAACACGAAAGACACCGAGTCGTAGAACTTAGTGGTCCAAGAACAGTGTCGCATGCTCAAAAGACAAGGCGTTGGCGCCTTCATCCATCACGGCTCTGATCAATGCCGCCCTGAGCGCTGAAGATCCAGCAATAGCAGTATCCCAAAATGCAGATTGGGCAGCTGACCATTCACCTGAGTGTTTCGCGCGCACCTTTGACCATAGTTTGTGCGGCGTCGGAACCAGACTCAACACTCTGTTGCCCCCAGCTTCCTTGGGAACCGCAGCACCCAGGACCGAGCTGAGGGACGACCGCCAGGCGCCAGCCTGCTCGATATTATTCAATATATCCACAAGACACTGCCTTGCCACCAATGGCTGTCGCTGAATATCAATGGGGTTCAGCACGTCCACGCCCTTCGCCTTCTTCGCTGGCAGCGTGGGCAGCACAGCGTCCACGTCCATGATGGCAATAGCAGGAAGTGGGTCATCTCGAGCAGCTGACAGACACTGGTCCATCATATACAAAATATCTGCAGGCTGATCGACAGGATCTCGCCACATCGCATTCCATTCAGAGGCAGACGTCTGGAGCATCGTCTGCCTGTCCGTGGTGATAGCACCTGCCGCGTCGCGGCCCTCCCACTCCAAGGGCGGAGCCTGCTTCACATGCCGATGTACAGCACCAGGCTTGGATGACCAGGACTCCTTCACCCACTTGACAAAGGACGAGCGCGACGCTAACAGGGCCCGAGAGGTCGACAAGTCCGCCCACTTGCGCGTGGTGCCCACCAAGGAAGTGAGCTGGCCAACAGGGACTCGATCCAAATCAGCGGCCATAGCTTTCCACAACTCAACCTCCTCAACGGTGGACGTCTTGCCGAAGTACTCGACCGTCTTATCAGCAGGCAAGACTCCAATTCTGGCCTGTACTTCACGTGCACAGTAAGCGGCCTGAGCATGATCAGCTCCATTGACACGGAGAGCAGCATGCCGAAAAAGCAAAGTGCTGACAACACCCCACCACTCGGCCTGCTCGTTCTTCATGTGAGCGCGCCCAGGGGGGGAAGTGACCTTGGCCCAATAGCAAGCAGGGCCGCGAGCACGACCTGAGAACTGCATCCAAGTACTGGCATCAACCTGCTCGTGAATCAAAGTGGCACGCTCCAATGTAGAAATCCAAGCTCCGTAGGACTCATCAAGCCGAGCACGCTCCTCAGGTTGCCATTCAAAGACAAAGTGCTGACTGCGGTCAAAAGCTGCAACTTTGCCACGGGCACCCTCTGGCTGATCCTCAAACAGCTGGGGGAGGCCCTCCCAATGCACCTGTGTCTGAGCTTCAAACCAAGTCTCCTCAGGGATGGCGAAAGACACAGTGGGCGCTGGCGGAGGCGCTGGCGGCTCCAGCTCGTCGAAGCCCTCCTGGTACTCGATGGGAAGCGCCTGCATGCGCCTCTGCCTCTGCTCTTCTCTCTTTTTAGACCGCTTACTCGCGGGATCAGCAACTGCAACGGGTCTATCGCGAACGGGAAGAGGCTCGGGCACTGCCAGGTGCCTATACCATCGCTGAGCACGGGCAGCCTTCACAGTAACAACCACTCCACAGTGTGTCTTCCATGGCACACGCAACTCAGCTCGAAGCGACACCTCTGGACAACCAACACTGGCGAGGCCATAATCGTACATCCGTCCTGGCCCCTTGTCGCAGGTCGCTCGGCAGGACGGCGTCACCACGACGGCGCCGAGCTTCTGGGGCCAACCAGTGCCTCGCAAGGCCGCGGGCTCGATGTTCCAGTCCGCCATCACCAGCCAGGGGTCCGCGAGCGCGCGCGTGAAAGCCCCCAGCGCCACCAGCACGTCATGGTTCCAGCCCTTCACGCCGAGGCGGCGATCAGGATCATATTGCCGCCCCTGGTGTGGATCACCGTCGGCGCGAAGCCACGGCAGGGGTCCAGGCGCCCAGCAGCGAGAGCCGTACGCCGAGCACTCTCAAAGCTCGACGTCGCCACATGTTTCTTCGCCAGAATCCACTCGCCACCAGACAAGCCAGCCTCTGACTTGCCCGAAGGGCGGGCGGCCGTGTAAGCCAGACGCCAGCCGTCTTTATCAATTGCCTGGCAGATGTCTGGCATGTCCTTCTCTCCTTTGTGCGTCTCAACTAGGGCCGCGATGCTGCGCTCCTGCTCCTGGGCTAAGAAACGCGCAGCCTGCGGGCCCCACTCCGTGATGTTGCCGAAAAAGATGCCCAAGGACGTGTCGTCATCAGACTCAGGCTGAGGTACGCCTGCAGATCCCCCCCTGCAGGACGGGGAGCGAGCCGTGCTAAACACGGCCTGCACCAGCACCAGCAGCCGCAACGCCCTTGCCAGCGCCCGCATTGCCGCCTTTGCCAGCGCCAGCGGCCTTGCCATCAGCGGCCGCACGCGCCTGCGCCTGGGCGCAGCTCTTGATGCGCTCCAGCATGGCCTTCTGGTCGCTCTCCTGCACCACGACCTTCGCCTTGCTGGGCCCAGCAGCGGCGCAGCCCGCCGCGGGCGTGCCTTCGGCGCCGCCGCCAGCAACGGCCTCGCCATCGGCGCCGCGCTTGCGCCGCTTGGCCGCCGCCGCCGTGTGCGCCGTCCTCGTGCGCTCCAGCAAGTCCTGGAACTCCTTCTGCTTGGCGTCGACCAGCTGGGTGACCTCCACCAGCTGCTTCTGGAAGTGCTCAAGCGCCTGCCTGTCGGACTCCTCCAGCTCATCGAGGCACTCGAACAGCCCAGGGTCCAGGGCGAAGCCCGACAGCTTGGTGGCCGCCTCGGGCGGGTTCGCCGCCTCCTGCACCTCCAGACGGTGCAGATCAGCGGCCAAGACGGCGTCCGCCGCCTCGTCAAACTTGGCCTGGTCCTTCTCAAGCTGGAGGCGGGACTGTTCCAGCTTCTTCGCGGCCTTCTCCAAAGCCTCCTGCTTGCGAGAGCAATCCGCCGTAGCCTCCTTGAGCAGAGCATGCTGGGGCTTGGGCGGCGGCGCAGGGGCCGCCGCGAGCTTCTGGGACGCCAGGGTGCTGAACTCCGTCGCAAGGCGCGCCGCGTCAGGGTCCCCATCGAGGCCTGCACCAGCGAGAGCCTTCGACAGGTAGTCCCCAAAGTTGGCGAGAGACGGCTGAGACTGCCCATGGTCATGCCATCCCCCGCCCGAGGACCACGGCGCCCACCACGTGCCGCTCGTCGTAGTACTCCATCCTGGCTGCGGGGTGTTGCAGACTGCGCACACCCCTTTCTGCTTCTTGAGCCTCCAATTCCACGCCCAGTTGCCACACTGCACGCAGATGGAGAAGCCCTGCTTGCCATGCTTGACCATCCGCTCTTGCAGGAGCTCACAAAGTATGCTCCGACAGGAGCTCACAAAAACACTTCAGACTGGTTCGGGAGACAGAGCTATCCCAGTTTGGCACGGAAGCGCGGAGCCCCCTGGTGCATCAGCCTTGAGCCAAAATGGCTACGGAGGAGGAGGGAGGAGGGAGAGGCGAGGAGACGGGGAGGGAGGGAGGCGGGGAAGGAGGCGGGGAGGCAGGAGGACGAGCAGGCGAAAGGGATGGGGCACTGCGGGGAAGGGGGGTGGCAGGGAGGGCAGACCCATACCTCTAGGTCGGGCATGTCCCCCTACAGGCGGATTTTGGACGAAGCATGAGAAACAGCCAACATGTATACAACCATCCTGGAAGGACAATCGAATCTCTGTCCCCAGACTGCCTCTTTACTACTTTGGGCACTCCTCCTGTAGAGGGACAGGCCCGACTTAACCGTACCTCCGAAGCCACGATCTGGTCCCCACGTCCCCGGGGCTGGCCTCGCATCCCGAGCTGTGCGTGTGTGCGTGCACTCGGCGGCCCCAGGGGCCTGGCGAGGGCCCCAGGGAGCCCAGCGCAGACGGAAGCCCTTGGCTCAGTTTGCCCCCCACCGAGCTGAAGGACCACAGCCCAGAACGAAGTTCGAGCACCCAGAAGAGCATCGAACCAGTGTCGAACGAGTCTCGCCTCGCGGGGCCCGACACGCGATGAGCCCTCTGGTTTCGATACGCGCTTGATGCTCGACACTCTGCCTGGTAATCAAGGCCACAGCAGGCTGGAACGTCATGACCATTGGCGTGCTCTTGGTCGCGACGCGCAGGGAGGTCTCCCCTCCGGGAGACAGGAGGCAGCAGGGAGAGGCGAGGAGGGGGGGGGGGCGGCCCTAGACCCCTCCGATTCTTCGTCCGTCCTCACTCCTCCTCCTCCTCCTCCTCCCTCTCCTCCTCCTCCTCCTCCTCCTCCTCCTCCTCCTCCTCCTCCTCCTCCTCCTCCTCCTCCTCCCCTTCCTCTACCCTGCACCCTCCCCCCTCCCCCTCCCCCCCCCCTGCGCCACTCCCCCCCCCCCCAAATCTCTCCCGTGCTCCGCCGGGTTCTGCCGTGACCATGGTCCGCACGGCCGCCCCCCTTTGGCCAACCCCGCCCCATCTGCAGCGCTCGGTGGGGCCGTGTGCCTTCTTCTTCTTGGAGTCGCTCGAGCTCATGCGCTTCATGGCCTTGCAGGGAGGGGTGGGGGTGAGGAGGCACGATGCAGGAGGGGGAAAGGCGGAGCGAGGAGAGAGGGGCCAGAAACGAGGGAGGGAGGGAAGCAGACGGGACGGGGGACGGGGGAATGGCTGGGGAGGAGAAGGAGGAGGAACGGAGATGATGGAGAATGAGGGAGGGGGGGAGGAGGGGAGGAGGGAGGAGGGAGGAGGGAAGGAGGAGGAGGGGAGGAGGGAGGAGATGGAGGAGGGGAGGAGGGAGGAGGGGGAAGGGAGGAGGGCGGTGAGGTAGAAGGGGAGGGCGGAGGAGGGCGGGCGCTCGTGTTCTTGCAGGCGAGTGCGGAGCCCCGTGGCTGCGGCCAGGAACGACACGACAGATGGACCAGCAACGGTCGACAGGCGAGACACAGGGAGCGGGGCGGAGGCCCCGCGTCTGGACAACTGCATGGGCGACCATGGGGGGGGTGAAATAATTTGGAGAGAAAGATCCTGGCGCATTGAACAAAAACAGGACGAACATATTGTCACGGTGCTCGGCCTCCATGGGGCCCGCATCGGAACCCAGGGCAGAGAAGGATGCAAAACGGGCCCGCGGGAGCGACCATGGGCGACCATGGGGGGGGTGAAAACAGCTTGGAGAGAGAAAGAGATCCTGGCGCATCGACCGAAAACAGGACGAACATGCTGTCACGGTGCTCGGCTCTTAGTAGACCTCCCCTTAGTGAAAACGGCCTGGGACCGAAACCGACGGACCTGGACCCGCAAAAATGACGGCCGCGACGCCCTCCCGCGAACCGAAAACGGCCAATTCACTACTCGACGTGTGAGGGTAGGAGGTCCGTCCAGCCCCGATCGGCCTCCATGGGGCCCGCTATCGGAACCCCGGGCCGAGAAGGATGGCAACAACGGGCCCGCGGGGACGGGGTCGAGAGGCCCTGGGAATTACCCGCCTGCCGCTGCTCCCCGGACCTCTCAAGGATGCACGCTCCGGCCAGGGTCTCGAGGCGCACTGAGCCGTGGCACGAGGGCTAATGCGGGATGACGATTAATAAAAAAAACGGGAACGAACGATCAAAAAAATAGTTTTCTGTTAGTTCTGCACGATTTTCTGACTGGAGGAGAACGATTAAAAAATAAGTTGTTCCAGCCCGCGGCCGGTTTTTTCGAATCGTCATCCCAGGCGCCGCCGCGTGAACTTGACCCCCGGTCATTTATTAATCGTCATCCTCTATTAAGTCGGGCCTGTCCCCCTACAGGCTGATTTTCGAGGAAAAATGAAACATAGCCAAAACAAGTTCAAAAATTCGCAGAGACCTATCAGAAAATAGTCCCCAGGCTATGTTTAGACTATTTCCCTACCTAGGCTCTGCCTAGAAGGGTTCTTACCCTGTATGCTGAAAGGGCCGGGCAGTGCTCCCCGCCCCGGGCGGTTCCCCCAGGATCCGCCCCGCGGTTCCCCCAGTTACGTCCCCTTAGGTTAGCGTTGCTTATCTCACATTAGCTTAGCCTAGCTTAAGTTAGCTTAGCTTAGCTTAGTTTAGCGTCGCTTAGCCTAGCCTAGCGTAGCTTAGCTTAGCTTAGCTTAGCTCAGCTTAGCTTAGCTTAGCTCAACTTAGCGCAGCATTAGCATTAGCATTAGCATAGCATAACGTAACAGTAGATGCAGATGTAGGTGTAGGTGTAGATGTGGATGTAGGTGTAGATGTAGATGTACATGTAGGTGTAGATGTAGGTGTAGATGTAGATGTGAGTGTAGTTGTAGATATAGATATAGATGTAGATGCATGTGTACATGTAGATGTAGCTGCAGCTGTAGGTTTAGATGTGGATGCAGATCTAGATGCATATGGAGGTATTAAGCTGTACTATTACTACTTCTACTACTACTACCGCTACTGCTACAACTGCGACGATGAGGAGAAGGAGGAGGACGGCGTTTACCGTTACTACTAATATTGCTCTCCTCGGGGCTCCAACTCCTAGGTGGGGTCGCTCCGGGATAATAATTTTGAATCGGCCCCCAAGAGGCCCAAAAAGGCAAGCGCGAGGGACGGCGAGAGGGGCAGTGTGTGCCGGTGCACTCGCCATCGCTCGGACGTCCATTTCACGTGCATTTTTAGATTTCGTGCGTCTTTGTTTGCTCGATGATCCAGGATGCCCCCCGATGGTCCTCGCCGAGAAAAAATGCACACGCCCGAGTGATGCCAAGTATATCTCCTCAAGCCCCCGGCATCGTGATTTCTCGCAGAGTGGACCCGGCGGAGCTCTGGACCCCTTCCCCTGGACCAATGTTCGTCGCCTGCTGACGGTCCCAGGGCTTGGCAAGAGGCCCCAGAAGCGGAAAATGTATGACAACCTTCCGTCCGCATCTATTCACCATGAAATAATTTCCTAATCATTGTTTTGACGATTGGCGCGGGCCCTCCCAGCCCCTCCCCACACCCCGCACGGAGTAGATCTTGGCTGTTTTGGGCGCCTGTTTCAAGCAGGTGGAGTCTCCCACATAGGAGCACTGTTGCAAACAGTCGCATCAAGCAGATATCCGGAGCCAAATCCCCCTCCCCCCTCTTCCGCCCAATGTCGAAACGCCGAATAAGAACACGTTCAGCGAGGAGTCTTGGACTGAGTCCGGGCCCCGCCTTCGCGATCATCTTCTCCATCCGCTCGAAGCGGTCCTCCTCGTCGTTGGCCATCAAGTCGTCCTCTGGCCACTGCGCCAGCACGGACGTGGAGCCGCCGAAGCGGCGGATCATATCGACGGTGGTGATGTTCGCGTTCGCGGGCTCGCGCACCTCGCGGAGGATGACGGCCGAGACGACCACGACGACGACCACGGCACGACGACCCCAGAACTGCGACGTCATGCCTTGCTTCACGACGCCTGCTCGGCCCCCCTCGGCCTGGACCCCCTCCCCGGATCGGACCTCGTCGCCCCGAACCGTTGCTTGACGGCCCAGGGGGCCCCAGGAGAGGCCCCCAGAGTCGGCGGCGGACAAACCTCCCTTTAGCACACCTCCCCTTAGTGAAAACGGCCTGGGACCGAAACCGACGGACCTGGACCCGCAAAAATGACGGCCGCGACTCCCTCTCGCGAACCGAAAACGGCCGATTCCTTCATCGACGTGTCGGGGCAGGAGGTCCGTCTCACCACGCGAGCGTGTCCGGCGCCGCACGGCCGTGGCGACGGCGCGCCCGCGGCAGCGGCGACGGGCCGCATGGTGTCTCGAGGCCGCGCGGCCGCGCGGCTGTGGACGGCGGCGCTCCCTTTCCGAGGTGTTGCTCTCGCCTCTTTCTTGTTTTTGTTGAGCTGTTTTGTTACGTTTATCGCCTTGGCGCCGCGCTCCGTCGCAGGAAGAGTTCGGGCCGGAGTCGAGCGAGGGGGGGGGGAAGCGAGGAAGGATAGGGGCGCCACGGGCTGCGGGACTTCTCAGGAGCCCTCGCTCCTGCCGAGCGGTCTGTGTCTGCGGGGAAGGCCTGGAGACACTCGCAGGGGGCCGCTCCTCCTCCTCCTCCTCCTCCTCCGCCTCCTCCTCCGCCTCCTCCTTCTCCTTCTCCTCCTCCTCCTCCTCCGCCTCCTCCTCCTCCTCCTCCTCCTCCTCCTCCTGAGAGAAGGCCCGTCCCTTCTCACACATTCCCCCCAGGCGCGCCGCCGATCTTCGCCAGAGCAAGGAGGGGATACGCGACAGGAGGAGGAGGAGGAGGAGGAGGAGGAGGAAGAGGAGGGGGAGGAGGAGGAGGAGGAGGAGGAGCAGGAGGAGGAGGAGAAGGAGGAGGAGGAGGAGGAGGAGGAGGAGGAGCCCAGGCATGGGCCATCCTAAACGTAGCCGCCCCGATACGCAACACGCAGCCCGCAGCGTGTTGGCACGGAGCTCAACATGTAACTAGTCTGAAGACGTGCGTCCGGCGCGGCACGTCCGCAGAAACGTGAGGCCACACGTGGCAAGCCAACACGCAGCGCGTTAACACGGACGTTATGAACACGCTACGTGTTGCGTTTCAGCCTGGGCGTATCAGAGCAGCCAAGATCCTAAATCGAATCAGGCGGAATGATGCAGGGTTGGGTCGGTTTCCGCCCACGGAAGTGCCAGCGCCGATGCAGAATGTAAGCTCCCAGGAGCTGCATCCGAACGCGCAGTTGTCTTCAGGTAGTCGACTGTTACATGGATAGAGGCGGGGTCGCATTGTAGCTCCCCTCTGCGCTGCGCGCGCTCGCGCCCAGGCGTCTGAAGCAGTAGCAGACGGCACCCCCGGGTCAGGCATGGTGTGGTATGAATGCTTTCCGCGGACCTACTTCCACAAGAAGTGGAGGAAAGGTTGAGGAAGGAGGAGGAAGAGAGGGGCGGCAGAAGGAGGCGCTGGGAAGAGGAAGAGGAGGACGATAATAATGCTGAAACAGAGGAGCAAGACAACGACGCTGACGAGGGTGAAAACAACAAGGAGGACGTGGGCAATAAGAAGGGTAAGAACGAAGAGGAAGAGAGCAATGACGACGGGACGGGGGACGACGACCAGGAGAAGCAAAACGACGATGAGAGGACGACGAAGAAGACGGGGACGAGGACGAGGACGAGGGCGAGGGCGAGGACGACGAGGAGGAGTGTGACGAAAAGGAGGAAGACGAAGCGGACGAAAACAAATGAAACGACTGAGACGAAGACGGCAAAGCGGGGAAATACGGAAAGGAGGACGAGGAGGACGAGAACAACGAGGACGCCGCCGACGCCGACGCCGACGCCGACGACGACGACGGAGGAGGAGAAGGAGGATGTGGGAAGAGGCTGGTAGCGGCGGCTCCGCTGTCTTTTGAGGATCTGGAGCCTGGATGCCCCCAGCCAGCCCGATGTCGCCCTCCCCGAACTCGCACCGCTCGTCCAGGTGCAGCGAGTCGACGAACCACCTCCGGCGGGTCCTCCTCTTCCTCCTGGTCCTTCTGGTCCTACTCCTCCTCCTCCTCCTCTTCCTCCTCCTCCTGCTTCTGGTCCTTCTCCTCCTTCCCATCCTCCTCCTCCTCCTCCTTCCCCTGCTCCGGGTAAAAAACGTATGGCCCCAATGTTGAGTCTAGCAGGAAGGACGCATGGGGCGGCCTGTCAGGAGACGTCAAGACACTATGTCTCCGACGAGCACCCCACATGAGCTCGCTGGAATTTCGCCACTGGGGTGAGACAGGCCAAGAGGGCTGGTTGGAATGTCCCCTGGGCCAAAAAAAAACCCTTCGTGCACACCCGCGCTCCGACCATCTGAAGTCGTGGTCACGGGGTTGTTCGGGCTGTTCCGTGGACCGGAATAAAAAACGACATCGTGAAAGCCACGACCGGAATCCCAGACCTTACCTGTCTGCGCTACTCTTTTCGAGCTGCATCGATCTGGGACGGCCCCCGGGCCCGAACACGGGCAAGAGAGCCCCTCGTGCCAAAACTGCACCAGGATCTCAGGTACTCCAGATTTCGCAATAAAAGGGAGGGGGTCTGGACCCTCCAAGACGAGCCATTTCAGACCCCCCCCGTGGGAGAACCCTCCAAAACATCGTCCCCAAACCTCCCCAGGCCCTCCAAGATAGCCTGGAAGAGACCCCCCCGAAATGAGACCCCCCTCCCTTTATTACAAAATCTGGAGTACAAACTCGCGCTCCGCCCCATGCAATCCACCACCACACCCCACGCCGGGCCCCGCGTCAGACCTCTCTCGACACCCGGGTGGGCCCTTCCTCGCTGGGCCGCTGGGCGCTCCGCGCTTCCTCCAGGGGTGGCATTCCCTGGTCCGCCTGGGCGCGCCTGGCTTGTCTGCACTCGGATCGTTCCTCCCCCTCCGCGCCTCCTCCTCCTCCTCCTCCTCCTCCCTCCCTCCCTCCCTCCTCCTCCTCCTCCTCCTCCTCCTCCTCCTCCTCCTCCTCCACCTCCTCCTCCTCCTCCTCCTCCTCCTCCTCCTCATCCTCCTCTCCTCCTCCTCCCCTCCTCCTCCTCCTCCTCCTCCCCTCCTCCTCCTCCTCCTCCTCCTCCTCCTCCTCCTCCTCCTCCTCCTCCTCCCCCGCCTCCGCCGCTGGCTCTGCGCTCGGTCTCGTGCTGGCGTGCTGCCCCTTTTGGCTGCGTGGATCGCCCGCACCAGGTGCGCCTTCGGCGCAGGAGCCCTGCGGCACACCCACCAAGAGAACGCTACTCTCGTCCGCCTCGCGGGCCGTTGCTTCCGCACTTCCGCGCCGAGGGGACGAAACGACATCGCGGGGCGCTGTGCAAACGTCGGGCCCAATAGCATACCATGGCCCACACGCGGCTTGCTCAACACAAGGGGGGGGGAGGGGGCAATTCGTGTGTTGGGGTAGCGGGGCGGGCAACTGACGCAGCACCCCAGCTCGGCGACAATCATAACCGCCTCTCCGCCCCTATCCCCTCATCCTCATCCGCGACGCCTCCACCTCCACCAACATCCCCACCTGATGTGCGCATTTCGACTGGCCGCACGGTATCCCAGGCGCCCGTCCAACCCCTTGGTCTTTCGTGCCTGGTCTGACAACATCTAACGACCAGAAGAGGCAAAACTTTCAAGAAACCAAAGATGACGCCGACGGCACGTGACCATCGTTTGACCGATTCCTATCCCCACTGGCGCGACCTCAGCCCCATTAGCCGATGTATCCCCCTAGATGGGGAGATAGGATTTTGATTTTGGGTTTCGATGGGCCGATCCCCAGCTGGGGGGTGGGATGGTGGGGCTGAAATACCACGGCCTGGTGGCGATGGGGGGAGGTTCAACGATATTAAGCAAGGGTTTTCACCAACATTCCCCCATCAGCACTGACAGCACCGCCCGACCTGTCGCCGACAGCAGCTGCGTCTCTGGAGCGCACTCAGCATGAGCCCAAAACTGCAACCCTCAACGAAGCGAAGACAGCGCGTCCGCCTCAGATTCCGTCCCCCCCCCGTGTCCCCCTCCGTTCGGGGGCGAATCGCATCGCGAGGTGCCGCGGTGTTGGTGCCCGTGGGCGTTCAGGCCCAAGACCTCCAGAGCTGGCGGAGGCGGCCCGCTACACGCGCGCACCTTTTCGTCGGCGGCGAGGCGGCGAACTCCGCTCGAGCGAGAAGCTAGAAAAGGAGCAGCCACTAACTAGCGAAGTGGCCAGCGGGCAAAGGGGGGGGATGGCCGAGAGGAAAAATTGACCTCCAGACGTCGAAGAATTCGACAATGAACAGCCAGGGGGGGCAGCAGCAGCCAGGCGCGAATGGCAAGAGCGTGGTGGGCGGCCGCGGCGAAACGCGGTGGCAAGGGTGGCGGGAGGGCGGCTGCCAGCAGCTGGAGCTGGCGGGCGGGCGCAGTGGGGCACCACGAACGGCAGAGGTACCGCGGCGCGCCGAAGAGTGGGTACAGCACTGAGCCGGCCAGGGGCATAGCAGAGGCAGTGACACGGGTATTGCGGCGGCCCGGGGCGCGCCAGGTGTCCAGGGGGACGGGGGAGGTGGGGCAGGAGGCGGCGGGCGAAGCGTCCCAGGCGCCCGCAAGCGGCGGGGCGGAACAACAACGCAACGGGAGGAGGAAACGCGGGCAACACGGCCAGAAGGCTGGCAGTGAGAGGGGTCCTGCGGCGTGACCGCCCGCGGCGCGCCAGGTGGCACCGGGCCGGGAGAGGTGGGGCAGGGCGCGGCGAGCGAAACGTCCCAGGGCCCGCGGGCGGCGGTGCGGAACAGCATCGCAACGGGAGGAGGCAGCGCGGGGCTGCCGCGGAAGGGGGGCAGCACCGAAGAGTGCAGAAACTGGGTGGCAACGCAGGGCGGCCCAGTGGGCGGACCAGCGCGGCGCAGCAGAGAAGCACCGAAATGGCACAGGGGACAGTGAGTGAGCGACGCGCGTCCAAAACAGAAGGTGCGTCGCGAGGGGGCGGCGGTGGGGGGCAGCGGCAAGTGCAGAAGCCGGGCGAGGGAAGCACCGAACTGGCGCAGGAGACACTGGATGAGCGACGCGCGTCCCGCGCGGGAGGCACGTCGCAAGGTGGAGAGGCGAGGGAGGGCACCGACGAGGTGCCGAGCCAGGTGCGGAGAGGCGCCCAGCCCAGAGGGCCACGCGCCTCGTGGAGAGCGGTCAGGGGGGGCGGAGGGAGGACCAGAAACAAGGAGGCGAGGGGATTGCCGGTTGGGCCGACGGGCGCGTCGGCCGGCAGGGCGGGCAGCGACGGGCAGGGAACCGCTAATTGGGCCGAGGGGAGGCAGCGATCGCGACGTGCGCGGGGGCAGTAAGGCACCTGTGCGGCGGGCCAGCAGGGCAGGACGCCACGGGCGGGGGGCTCGCCTTCGCCGGGGCGCGGGCGCGCGGGAGGCGCGGCGGGGGCCCGCCAGTTGGGCGCAACACTCGCTCATGCTGGTGAAGGAAGCGGCGGAGGAAGGTGGCATCGCGCTGGCCGGGGTCGCGGGTGCCACCGCCACGCCGAATGCAAAACCTGTGCCAGGCCGCCCCGAGCTCCACCGCCAGCTTGCAGCGCCCTCCTGACCCGGGCCGCGAGGGCCCCCGTCGAGCCGAGGAAGTCGAGCAGGACGGGGATTGGGACATCCTCGGGACGCGCCCGTCCCTTGCCCTTTTTCCTGCCGGCCGAATCGGACAGGTTCCATCGGGCACGGGCGTCTGGCGCCGCGGCCCAGGTGCGCTTGACGAGCAGCAGGAGGCTGCGCCGTGCAGGCCGAGGTATTCCCCCCCGCGAGCTTGCGCTGAAGCTGCCCGCGGCGCCAGAACCGTCCGCGCCCGTCGTCGCGCGGCAGCAGCGGGGGACATCGGGGGCCGGCGGGGGGGTGACGTACGGCTGGCCCGTTAAGAGCCAGGCGTCGGCACGAGCAGCCGTCGAGGCAGGCTGCAAGGGCGGAGGCCACGCGACGCCCCGACCGGCGGGCAAGGAGCGGGCGGGGGCGTCGAAAAGGGCCGCGTACAGTGCTGGGCGCCGGCAGTGGCGTCGAGTGGGGCGTCGGGCCCAGGCGCGTCGGGCTCGGCGTCGCCGTCGTCAGCTCGGTCCGCCCAGCGGCGTCCGGCTGGCCGCCAGAGGTCGCGATGCTGGAGCCTGGCTGGCTGCTCGCGGACGCGGAGCTGGAGCCCGTCGCAGTGCACGCCGTCGAGCCGCTGGGGCCCCGTCGTGCCGATCACGATGTTACGGCTGGAGTGTCTCCTGCTGCTCGCGGTCGCGCTGCGGGGATCCGCCGTCCTGTTCCAGATGGCGCTGCTGGCGCCCGCCCTGCTGCTCGCGGCTGCGCCGCTGGGCTCCACTGCCCGGCCGCGGCGACGAGGGTTCTCCAGGGCGAGCAGCGGCGCCGGGCCGCCAGATCGATGCGATCGTCGCGACAACGGGGGGGCAAAGGACCCCCTTGGCTTCCAGGGCAAAATGGGGCGGCCACCTCGAGACCGGAGGGCTTTCCAAATGCGGCGTCACCTTGGGCACTCTGGTTTGCGTCGACCTGGCCGCCCGCGGTCCGCGCCCCATCCCGTGGGGCAGGGGGTCCACTGCGAGGGGCGCCAGGCGGCGGTGAAGGTTTCCCAGCTCCTTCTGGCGCCAGCGTGTCATCGCAGCCTTGGACAGGTCGCCCTGGCCTGCCAGACAGGGCACCTCTTCGCGGCCCAGGAGCGCCACTGCCAGAAGCGTTGGCCCGCGCGCCTCCGGGCGGCGGCCGTTCGCGGCGGGCCCTCGGCGCGGCGACGAGGCCCTGACCGGGTGCGCCACGCAGCGGCGGCGTCGCCTGCAATGGGCGTGCGCTCGCGGGCCTGGGAGGGGCCTTTTGGTTTTGACACCGCCGTCGTTCCTCTGTCCAAGAGCGCCGCTGAAAGCGGCATGCGCGGAAGAGATGTGCGTTCCCCCTGAGCCCTGGTAAGGCTCAGGGGGGGGCCGCTGGTTTCTGACTTCGCCATCTTTGCCAAGTTCGGCCCGCTGGTTTC